GCTTGCTTCGATCTTTCCAACATTTCTTTTGGGATGATGGCCTTTGTCTTGGTTTCATTCATTGTTTGGCATTCTGTTTTTTGCGACACAGGGAACAAACTCTGGGCCTCTGGTTTTCGATGGTCTTTTTTTATTCTGAAAGACTTCACATTATATTTTTTAATTTACTGATTGGTTGGTTGATTGATTGGTTGACTGGTTGATTGATTGATGGAAGGGGAGTCAGTTCTCTCATCCACCATGTGGGACTCAGGTATAGAACTCAAGTGGTAGCTAGTACCTACTGTGGAGTCTACGGTCTGACTTTGCAACATATTTTTGAATCAATTAAGACAGTTTCCTCTCATCTTTCTTTTTAGAAAAAAACAGTCTATCCTCATGTATCTATTCTCTGAGATAATTTTTAGAACCATCCTGCCAATTATGTAAATAATTAACGACACTAGGACTGTGTAAAATTCACGAACTAATATGGGAGAGAATTTCAGTCTTTTGTCATGATCAGCCATTCCAACCAGGAACAGGTAAATCATCTGAATTTTGATATACTTCATTCTTTGGTTCTAACCAGGTCTTGGCTATCTAAGGCATGAACGAGTCATTGTTTTTCAGTTCTAAGGGTGACTTACACTTCGGTTTTGTTCTGATGAATGGAAAGATTTTCCATTCTGTAATTTTAAATTGCTAATTCTAATACACGGAGAAACTCGCTTGTGTCCAGGGACCCTTGCAGTCTCTCCTGGTACTGTTATAAAGTAATCCACCCCAACTCTCACATATTCCACTCAATAGTGGCTTCACTCATTACTAAAGTGTGTCTTTGTGTGTGTGTGTGTGTGTGTAGTGTGTGTGTGTCTAGTTGTGTGTGTGTCTAGTGTGTGTGTCTAGTGTGTGTGTCTTGTGTGTGTGTGTCTAGTGTGTGTGTGTGTGTCTTGTGTAGACAATGAAACACACACACAGAAGGAAGGAAGTAGTACCCATAAAAACCTATGCTTCAGAAACACTCCCTCTGAACATTTGGATGACCATCCATGAAACATATATTTAATTTCAGTTAGCCAGGCAGTGGTGGTACATGCCTTTAATCCCCGTACTCAGGAGGCAGAGACAGGAAGATCTCTGAGTTCCAGAGCAAGTTTTGGGTCAGCCAGAGTTACACAGAGAAACCATGTCACCATGTCTCAAAAAAAAAAAACCCAAGAGAGTGAGAGCGAGATGAATGTAATATTCCCCACTTTGTGTGGTATAAATCTCTCTCTGCTTTATTCTTAATGTTTTTATGCCGTCTGCATTTAGCATCAGTCTCCTAGATATTTATATCGGTCCATCTTTTAACACTATAAATAATTACACAGTGAACATCTTAGAAACTCCATTTTTGTGTCTCGTCATAAATATTTCTTTATAAGAAGTTTCTAGAAGTGGAATTTATAGGACTTGAGGTACCCAGTAATCTTGGGCATTTGTGACAAGTTGACAAATAGCCCTCGAGAAAGCCAAAAACCATTGATTCTCCAACCTCCACTTTTCAATATGGGTGTATTTTTTTCTCTTTAGATTCTACCTTCTTCCTTACACCAAAGGCATCTCCTAGGTTCTTGAACCACTGGTGACAACGCTTCAACAGTGGCAGTATTTCTGTCTGTCTGCCACCAGCTGTGTTGTGGCCACTCACATCCTGAAAGAAACTGTAGATAGAGTGCTGCCTTCACAACTGAGGATTTGTTTCATGAAGAGATAGATCCTCAGCTCTGGGCTCTGACATCTAAGGCTGAACTAAAATGTTTAGCTCAGCCCTAATCTTTGCTTGCAGCAAGAGGTGTCTGAGCCTTCCTCCCCCCCCCCCAGACATGTAAATCTCTCCAGGATTGCTACTCATAAGTATCAGAAGATCCATCTGAGCCTCAAGTAAAATAAATGAGTAAATAAATAAATAATACCCCTTCCTTGTCAGTTACATCAGGGAAAGGGGTGTCATATTTCTCCCCATCAGGTGTTCTCTTGGCAAGAAAAGTGCCTTGCTGAGAAATGCTTCCAGCAAGCAAGTGGCTACAAACACATCTGCATTGACAAGTTGAGACTTATATCCTTCTATGGTACTTTTGCTCTTTTGAAAATGTTAATAAAAACTTAATGTGGAAAAAAAACTACTTTTTCCAAATATGTGCACCAACGGGCCCGAGGCAACTCATACTTTCTTACAAAATAAAGTAGGTCACTCACATCAATCATCGTCATCTTAGCACATTTTTTCCAAATTAGGAATTCTCCATCCATCATCTCACGGCATGGCATCCCGTTTCCAAACATTTCCTTTTAATATGCTCTTTAACATGATAAGCAAATCTAATAGAATACATTAGTGTCACTTACTAGTGATGGAGTGTTTCCTCCTGCTGCTGTCCTCCATGAGGAGTCTGGGGAAACTTTTTTTTTGCGAGCTCTCTCCTTGACAGTCATCACTTGTTGAAAATATGTCCATGGTCCCAAAGCTAACTGAGGCCACGTTTGAGATAGTAGTGTTAGAAAGAGAATCAGAAATCTAGATCCTAGATCCTAGATCCTAGATTCACCTCACGTGTCATAGATGTAGACATTCAGAAGATAGCTCTAAATAACAGGTCCAGATTGTGCACACAAGAGGAGTGTGTAAATTTAGCCTGTGACTTCAGTGGTGTTGCATGACCCCCAGGCTTCACGATCAAGCCACATTCCCTGAGGAATCCTTCTCAGTCTCTTGGATTTGTGTAGAAAGAGAGGATCCTTGGCTTCCGATGTGTGTGATTCTCCAGAACTTGTTACCGTCTTTTTCCAAGAGGCTTTGGACCCTGTGTGAGTGACAGGCACCGATTATGACCTGCTTGAGATAAATCTTAATGCATGCCCATGTATGTGACAACGGTTACCTGGCAAAAACAGGATATTGTTTCTACTCAGATCTCTGGTTCTCCAATTCATGTGTTCAGTGTTAGCAACTGAATTTCTGAAGGAAATTTTTTTGGAGAATTGAGTTTTGGCATAAGACATCCGGGCAATGTGCCTGCAGAAAGCCCAGCAATTCAGTGACTTCTGGCTATCCAGTAGGGAAGCCTCTAAACGAAACAGGGAAAAAGCTGTTTTTCTGGGTGTTGAGAGTGGTGGGTTCCTGAAGACACTGGCTTGGGTGCTCCACTGGGGAAGGGCTTGCCCTGTAAAAATGAAGACCTGGGTTCATCCCTAGAACCCATGTGAAAAGAAGACAAGATCCAGCGCAGCTTAAGCTCCAGAGATACCAGACGGGCAGTCTGATGCCTGGGGCCTGCGAACCAGCCAGCCTAACCTACCTCTCAAGTTCCAAAGAGACACCGTGTCTCAAAGCACAAGGTGGGGCCAGAGAGATGGCCCAATGGTAAGGGTGCTTACTACCAAGCATTGTGATCTGAATTCATCCCCAGAACACACCCATGCAACAGAAGGAGAGAACCTACTCCAGCAAAGTGCTCTCTCTCTCTCTCTCTCTCTCTCTCTCTCTCTCTCTCTCTCTCTCTCTCTCTCTCTCTCTCTCTCTCTCTCTCTCTCTCTCTCACACACACACACACACACACCTGGCACTGCAGTGCTGCAGTGTCAGACTGAGAGCTGAAGACTTGAGGTTGTGAGATCGTGTGACCCATTTCAACAACATCAACAAAAAGGACCGTGTGTTGGGGACCCAGGAATGAGCCCAGCCCTCGCTCTCAAAGCATCCTCAAAACCAGGCTTGTGCGCGACGCGAGGTAACGAGGACAACGAGCAAAAGGGGCTCCAAGGTGGGGGAAGACGGACTGTGACCTCTGCATTCGACCCTGTGTGAGGACTAGGGTCTGAGGATGTGCCAACAGGGCAGGGTGCTCTCTGCCAGCCAGAGAGCAGGCAGGGAGAGGACAGCACGGAGGGAAAGTGCGCGTGCGCGCAACAAAATATTAAGGACCAGTGGCAGGCAGCTTGCGCAGAGAGGCACGCGTGGGAACCCTCGAGGGAAGAGCAAAGCCTGCCTGGGGGAGCGCCTCAGACGCCCCATGGTGCGAAGCTGTACAGCAGCACTGTGTCCTTCCGCGTCTTGTCAACACACCCACCTGCAATGGGGAAGACTATTACGGTCACACTGATGTGTGTGAGCCTTGAACCTTCTCTTTTGTTGTATGCCTGTCCTCTTTACGCGAGGAAAGCGCTGTGGCAACGAAGAGTCCCTGCTGCCGTTCACAGCACACCTCCAGAAACACGGCTTCCTCATGCTTGGGGTGGGGTGGGGGAGTGGTGAAATTTGTAGAGGTTGTTCCTTTCCCGAATAGCCTCAGATGGAATGAGGGGTGCAGGCATCGGGTACCCCGGTGGATTATCTGTTCAGCAAATGTGTACTGAGCAACTTTACATCTGCCTCACACTGCCCTGGTGCTGGAAGACGACGCTGGTGGACACGACATCAGGGTCCCTACCTTTGTAGAGTTTACCTTCTGGTGGGGAGGCATGAAGTGAAGAGGGTGTCAGAGAGGAATAGGAAATAAAAGAATGGAGCGGAGCTGTACGACAGCGGTGACTAGAGTCAGGAGGGGGAAGAGTACGCCAGGGAAGACGGAAGAGGAAAAAGAGGTTACCAGCCTGACCCAGAACAGGGACAATCCCCCTAAGCAGGGGTCTGGCAAGTGCAAACGCAGACTGAGTTGGAAGGAAGGAATGGCAGCAGCTGAGGCTGGAAGTCGCAGGACACAGTTTGGGGCCCAGGGGACAGTGGGGGAGCCACTGTGAATCTTCCGCAGAGCAGTGACTGGGTTATGGGCATCAGGGTTCCCAGCGAGAGCCGCTCTCAGCCATGGTCTGCTCTGACTTCGTCCCTCACCGGGCCCTCTGCAAAGTCGAAACAAGTGTTGCGAGCACATCGGCTTTCATTTCTACAGCAATCTTCGTACCCAACCACCATAGCATTTTTAATAACAAACTGGCAGAGAGTCAGACATCTGTACTTGAAAAAAAGCCAGGCCAAGTATTTCTAAATGTTTTATATTTACTTGTAACATTAGAATAACCACGCGGTTGCTTTCTACATAATCGGAACCATTCTCATTAGGGTTCCACAGACCTCGTCCTCCGTGGGTTTTGGGTGGTGGTTTTCATTACGGCAGTGACATTGATCTGGACGGGAGTGAATCTCTCCTTGAACATTTGTGGAAAAACTGGGGAAGAAGTTGAGAGCAGCCAGAGCAAGTTGGGGAAAAATGAGAACCCGGAAAAAGATAACCATCAGCTTGGCACTGGGGTAGCATCGAAGGGGTCCAGGCTTTGAAGTCCAGCAAAGCTGGGCTCCCCGTGCAGCTGAGAAACCGTAGGGGAGTCACTCGACATCTCTGAGCTTCAGGTCACTCAACGGCCCTACTGCATGGAGTTGTGTTGAGGACTAAGAGGAGTCATCACCAGTGAGGGGGTCTGGTCCGGTTTTGCTCCTTGATGACAACCTCCAAAATAACTGTCTCCACTAGATTGCATCTTGAATTTCACCTACAAGATCTAACAAATAAAATACAAGATTCCCAGTTAACCTGAGATGCTGGATTGTAGTCAGCAGCTGTTTAGTGTAATTGTGTCTTGTTCAGTACCTGGAGTTATAAAAGTCCATAAGTATACTTATCAGAAATTTAAGTTTGACCAGGCACTTTGGCTGGAAACTTTACAAGTTTAATTGTTAAAAGAACATCAAAGTGGAGTAACTTTAAAGAAACACCTGACCCAGTCACACAGCACCAGCCAGAGCAGACCCAGCTTTGAGTAGAGGCTCTGGAAAGAGGGGTCCAGAAAGCAGCTCCAAGAACTTGTGGTAAGCCCGCGTGACGTACTCTGCAGACGTACCACACAGAGGCGAAGGACACAAGAACCCCAGCCCCACCAGAGGCTCCAGAGTAAACCCGGAATCCAAAAAGAGGAGGGAGGTCTCCTATCTGTCTTTCCCTGCAGCCGATGCGGAACTAGTGCTGTGAGCCCAGGTTGTGAATCTTCCCAAATGACACTACAGACTATGGGGCTATTTGTCACCTGCTTATTTGATGCCACGTCACAAAAGGAGGTAAAGCTCCCAAGAGCAGTGCTCACTCTCTGAATCTTTCTCCTGGCTCTTGCCTGGATGGCGGTAGAGCCGGGATCTGGGCATGGCTAGGCACGGATTGGAAGAAGCCACTGAGAAGGAAGGTGAAGTCAGGCCTGGTCCCCTATCACATCACTGCAAGCTGTGTTTGAGACTGAGGACTTCCCAGGAGACCCACTCTGGGCTTGCAAAGAAAGGATCCTAACATCAAGAAAAGCAGCCAGCCAGTAAATTCCTACTTACTTCGTTTTCTGAGACTTCTGAATGTGTTTTGAATTTTCTCTAAATTAAGATAATCATGAAAGGTTAAGATATTTCAACAGAGTGCCACCTGATCCCAGGGCTTGAATTGTATGCCTAATTAGTTCCCGAACATATGGTTCAGAATGTCTTATAAAAACAGGGCAATGATTTGAGGTATATTTGGGTATTGGGTGGAGCCATGTTAAAGGCACATTCAGACCCATCTCAAAGCCCTGAACCTACCCTTCTGGCTGGGAGCTTTGGCTGACATCTGTTTCAAAGAGATACAAATAAATAAATAAATGGGAAAAAGGGAAACTGCTTTCCAGTGGCCTCATGATAAAAACAAAACTCCATAGGGAGATAGACATCAGGCATTAAAATACTTCGGGTACAGCACAGTTGGAGGAATGTGTGGTCTGGGAATAGGAGTTGGGCACAGTGAAGAGGGGACCCACTCCAGGATACACAGACCTTAGAACTGCTGGGGACATAGGCCTCACTGTGTCCTGGGAGGGACCTAATGAGTCACCAATGTCCCCACGGCCTTTTGTTCCATCCTGTGCTTCGGTTCCCAACAACCCATAGATTATACCTGTGTGTGGAACCTGGTCTGTGTCGGAAACACTCCTGTCCACACCCTGTTCCCACGGGATGCCAACCTCCACACCCCACTCTGGAAGGCACTTTCTGAGAGTCCCCGCCAGGAGCATCATGCTGCGTGGACATCCCCATAAGAGCACGTCAACCCTCCCACCCACACCCGAAGAAGGAGTGAACTGAATGCACATTTGTTTTTAAATGTATAATGGGTGGTGCACATGACAGGCTCCAGACAAGGACCCTCTCCAACCGCCCTTTCCATTTCTGCACCCAAACCCCTTTCTTCTCTAGACACTCTGGATCCATCCTGCTTGTGTAACGTCTGGGGCATGTGTTGGAAATGGCTACCCAGGGGCTGGGATGTGGCTCAGTGGGTAGAGTGTTTGCCTATCACGCACAAAGCCTTGGGTTCAACCCTTCGCACTCAACGTTTGCATAGACCTGGTGTGGCGGCGTATGCCTGTAATTTCAGAGCTCCAGAGGTGGTGACGGGAGGATCATGAGTTCAGGGTCATCTTTGGTTACACAGAAACTTTGAGTTTGAGGCCAGTCTGAGCTACAAAGACTCTGTCACAACAACAACAACAACAAAAAGCCAAGAAAATAAACAATTGAGAAAGAGAGAGAGAAGAAAAGAGGGAGAAAGAGAGAGACAGAGACAGAGAGAGCACGAGCCTATTAGATATCTACCATCTCAGGTCTTTAAAGAGGCCGCAGAGGACATTGTCCATCCCTTTATACCTATCCTGCCTCAGGCCACTCATCCATCATACCTTCCCACCCTTTGAGTAAGGGATCCCCAGCATCCGTTGGGTGGGTTTGTGATACAAAGAACAGGGCAGCTCCAATCGAGGAGGGGTAAGAAGGTAGACACAGAAAGATGCATCTAAGAGTTGGGCTTCATCAGACACAGTAAATACAAGAGGAAAATGGCTTCCAGCGGAGGAAACAGGGACGCTTCTCAGAACACAGTGTGTGCCCAGCTCTAAATGAAAAGCTGATTTGGACAATGGTAGCTCACGGTGACAAGGCCCTGCAGGGAAGTCAAAGACATGGGCCAATCCCTGAAGAAAGGAAGCCACAGTGTGGTCCCCAAATAGCAAACCGTTGTCCGGGTTACAGCCATCCTCACCTCACCTGCCCATCACTCCCTCAAGAATTCTTGTCAGGTTGACAAGGCAGGTACGGTCTGCCTTGTTTGTTTGTTTGTTGTGTTTTTATAAATAGGGAAATCAAAATCCCACAGTTCCGACATAGCATGACTCACATCTGAACTTGGGCTCGGACTTAGTTCTGAAGGGTCCGATTACAGAGGGCCTTAAAATTAAAGGAAGGGAACAGGGCAACCTTAAGCAGCGGGAGCTGGGGCAGAAAGACGCATGGGCAGGAAGCTGAGGGAAGCAGCTATAGTAGTCCCTCTGAGGTCATCAGAACCCAACTGGGCCAGGGGCCAGGGGAGGAAGCAAAAGATGAATGCAAGAAAGGGAGGTAGAGGCCTGTTGTGCAGAAGGCAGGGAAGACCTTCCAAGACCCATCGCGGCTGGGCATCCAGAGGGCTGCTGGCATTCTTCCAAAGCTAGCTGATGGCCGCAGCTCAGGGCAGATTCGCAGAGCCCGGAGCTCTTACCCGTGGGATGTCATTGGGCCACCTAACAACCCAGAGACAAAGCTGTTCTCATTACTATCCATCTTAAAGACTGACAAGTCGAACCACCGAGAGGGTAACGAATTTGGCCGTGTCCTCCTCGTCAGGGGACAGCCTCAGGTGGGAAGTGACCGAGCCTAAGTTCCTGGCCACCGGCTACAACCATGCCATCATTCCTCATTTCAGAAGGCCAAGGAAGGGGGTCCTCTCTCCCCATCAAGATACATCTACCTAGATTGTCCCTAGCCTACAAAACCCTCCCCAGCTCAACCCAAAGTTACCTCTCTCCTTTATTCCCTCCTGGGGACCTCAGAGGGCTCCTGCTGCCACAGCCAAGTAGGCAGGAGGTCAGATCTGAGCTGTGATAGGGTAAGGGAGGGAAACCTTAGGAGATAGGGACCCATCCTGGGGCAACGCAGCAGGAGACCTCCAAGCCAGGGCCAAGCCAAGTGGGATGAAGATCAAAGGCAGTGAGGGGGTATAGGCGGGTGGTTCCAACAGGGAACAGAAGTGGGCAGGGTTCTCTGAGACTGCTCCCACGTCATTCCTGTGGCTGTGTGGATGGATAGGGCTCCTTGAAGGCCTAGGACACTCCAGCAGAGTTTTGGGTCCCAAGGCCTGCCAAGATCTCCGCACTCCAGGGCTGAGGATCTAAGAGTTGGGAAGGGTTCTACAGATGCATGCCCTCCCTTTGTCCAGGCCACCACGGCTACTCTGAAGCTTCTTGGGGCTCAATCCATAGCCACATGTTCAGGCATTGCTGTTCTCCTGTCCTGGGTGATACATGGATCCTGCATGGCGCTCTCTGTTACACTCTTAGTGGCTGTGAGCATATTGTCACCAATGCTGTAGGTCTTCAGACATGCTCAATAGAGACACTTTATATTCCTAGGTCAATAAGATCAGTCAGCAGGGACATGTCCTAAGAGGCAGGACACATGCCTCGATAGGGAGGGCTGTCCAGGGAGCTCAGGCCCAAGACTCCATGCAGACAAAGTACACTGACAGTGAGAAATTCAAGACAGGGCGGGTGCATTACTCCAGACCCTGCCTGTGGCCCCAAAGAAAGACTGGCCAGCCCATGTTCCTGCAGAGCTCTGATCTGGCCAGTCTGGGTATAAGTCAGGAGTCCCTACCACAGGGCACTCAAGTTGCTCCCAGTTGCTAACTACTGTTAGTAAAGGAAGAAGGTCCACCTTGAGTCCCTATGTTTTATCTGTCTCTAGCAGCGAGTGTGGACCTCCTCTGTCTAGCAGAACCAAACTCAGGTCTTAGCGGGAGGTTGTATCCAAAGGTATTTTGAAGACAAAGGGTTTTCCTCTCCCAGAAAATGTGTTCGACTATTTCGCACTTGTGTGCATGCGCGTGCACACACACGCACACGCACATGCACATACACAAACATCTATGCATTTCAAGAAGTGCTCGACAGCATGACAGTACACTCAGTATACTCTGCTTTCCTATTATAAAAAAGGCGAGAGTCCAGCTGCCGAGCCATCGTTTGGGCAGCTTCAGGTCACCACAAGAGGATGAGAACCACCGTCTTGTCCAGCTGTTATCATCTCAAAGTACTGCAAACGAAGGAGGCGTCAGGTGTCAAGTAGCGTTACATTGGGAGTGTCCACATTCATCATCATTCCAACACACACACACACACACACACACACACACACACACACACACACGACAACCTCGGCCACATGACTAATCTTCACCAACCCTTGAAGACCTGGCTGGCACCTCTTTGGCTAGAAAGACAGAGCTGGCTCCTTCTGGAAAGCCCCCGCCCCCAAAGGAGGCTTCATTGGGAACCTCTGTTTGTAGCTTCTGGCAGCTGCTCATGTGACATAGATACATTTTCCCCCATTTTTCACTTGGTGTTTTCCTCTCTGTGTCTCTGTTTCCAAAAAAACCCTATCCTGAGAACGGCCGTAC